ATTTTACACCCCTGAATATGCCTTGCACCTCAGAATCTTCATTAAAACTGAAGAATCCACAAGGCAGGACACAATAGGCTCTTATCTCTGCTGCTTCGGATCAGTCATCTTCAAACCTCTAAACTTCAGTTTTTACTATCTCAGCTGAATTCTCAGTGGAGGAAAGGAACAGAGAACCCTTCCCTCTGTAAAAAGCAAAACAAGTGGAAGACCTAATGCTAACAATTGATGATGCAGCCGGCCTCCATTTTAGGCTGGAAAGCCATCTGAGAGACAAAATTAGGCTCATTTCTGGTTATGATTAAATCTGTTTCTCAAGACTGGGCTCTGCCCCACCTGTAACCTTAACTACAAATGGCTCTGTACTGCCTGTTCCAGGAAACGGCAACCCTGCCTTTGTTTCAGAGGTGTTTATCACCATCTTGGGCCCCTGCCTTTGTTTCTAGAGGTTGTTCTACCTTGTTTCAACACCTTGCAATCATGTCTGTTTTAGGTCGTGGTGATTAACTTATGTTTATGTTTTGCCCCTATAACTCCTATTTTGCCCATCAAATCCCCCATTTTGGAAACCCTACCCCTAAGCTACAAAAACTTGGTCTTCCTCAAATTCAATGTGGACCTCCTGAACCCTAGGCAGCCCGTGTACAGGAATTAAAAGCTTAATTTAATGAATTTGGCCATGACGATTTGGGTTGGTGATCTTTCTCCTTGCATCTTTGGGATTAACCAACAACACCCCCTTTAAGATTTCAAGATTTTATGCATATTGAATGTTTGCTTGTACCCATGTATGTGCACCATATACTTGCCTAGTGCAGCAGAATTCAGAAGAGGGCCTTAGATCCCCAAGACTGGAACTGGGGCTGGTTTGTAAGCCACTACACAAGTACTGGGAACAGCCAGGTCTTCACCTGAGCCATCTGCCCAGCCCAGGAGTTATACTGCAGTGATGACAGGGTTTTCAATGGAGCAGTGACATGACCTGGCAGAATTTTACTAAGTTCACTGGGGGACAAAGAAAGCATCAAGAAGGGTCCTCCAAGAGCCTCTTTAAGGGCTCCACTTAGGTCCAACAAAATTTCCATGCACTTAGACACAAGCCTCTAAGGACTCTTGGAGCAGATCGCAAAGTCCCAGGGTTTCAAGTTTGCACCTTATTTCACAAGTCTGGAGTAATTGATTTCTGGGGAACTTGTCAGATCTTGGGAGACCGTCTATGACAGTTCCTGAGCACTTAGCTGAGTTAGCAGGTCTGGTAAGAACATGCCAAGATGAACGGAGCCAATGATTCCTGCCGCTGGCCAGTTAGGCCAGCTCCTTTCGCTGCCTATTGATGCTTTACTCAGGACAAGATAGGATCGTACCTCCTGCTTCTGTGGACGCCTGAGCAGGTGGGTCTTACATCTTTGTTGGTGATGAATTAGCCTCCAGACTTTCTGAACATATCCCAGGCAGCTTGGCAGCATCCTGTCAGGCTCACTGATCACTAGCTCTCTGAGTTCATCACTGACTTTCCTTCCTTGGCATCACATTTCCCTTTTCAAGGGATACCAGTTTGTAGCTAAGTTCTTGTGAACAACCAGACCTTAGCCTATGAAATCAGCCAACAGACATGAAGACTTTTTCCCCGGGTCTGGATCTCACTGTACAGTCCAGGCTGGGTCCTTCTAAATTCTGAGACTGCAGGCATGAGCTATGACACCTGCCCCAATGACAGCAGCTACATCACCTCCGACAATCTTCTGTTTAACAGACTTAAGGCAAGGGACCACCTAGGGTTATTACGGCCAAGGGCTTTGCCTACAACAGTGCCTCTGTGCCAACTTCAGCCTTGCCGGGGTTTGTATTTATTCATGTACACACACACATCAGACAAGGGACAGTTTATTAGTAAGGAGACAGACAGACACATGGCTGTGGAGACTTGTTTCTCTGGCCTGCACTGGCCCTGCCCTCGCTCAGCAAGCTTGTCTTTGCAGATGTCCATGATGACCTAGGCTTTGCATCCAGACTGGAAGCTCTGAACGCTCCTGGTAGCTTGCTCTACTTCAGTGTCCCAGCGTCAGGGCAGCAAGGGCCCTCAAAGCACATGGATTTAAGCTTTTCCCCAAAGAGTCCTCCCTGGATAAAACTACATCCAGAGATTCACAGGTAGAGGTAGAAACTACCTACACCACAGCCATATTTCCCCCTCAGGGTGGTCAAGATGCCCCTGCCTGTTTTCCCTGCCTAAGGTTGGGAAGATTAAGGGGTTTTTGTTGTTGTTGTTTTACCATGTAGTCCTGGCTGACCTAGAACTCTCGATGTAGAGCAGTCTGGTCATAAATTCAAAATCTGCCTGCCTTTGCCTCCTGAGTGCTGGAACTCAAGGTTGTACACCACTGCGCCCAGCAGGGAGGTACGCTCTCAACGGGAGGCAGCAGGATTTTTAGACTCTGAAGTGCTTACTCTAGGCAGCGCACGAGAAGCTGTGGTACAGCTCGTGCTGGCAAGGCTCCTGACACCTAGCCACGAGTTTCCTGAGCGTGAACATTATGGTCTTCAGTCTGTTCCTATCTACTCTCATCCTCCTCATCCCTCCCACCATTTCCCAGGCTTTTTTCTGCCTTCAGCAGCAGATACCCTCCCTCTGGTACCCTAGGCCTCTACCCTCCCTGGACTCCCCATCACTTCATTCCAGTTGGTGACCCCTCCTGGAGGAGAGGCCTTGACCGGACATCCGCTATCCCAAAGGGCCTCAGGACCAGATGCCCACGCTGGTGCTTAATCCGAGCAGAGCTGTCACTGAAGCCCTTGCCACACTCTGCGCATTTGTACGGCTTCTCCCCGGTATGTGTGCGCCTGTGCTTGACTAGATCTGAGCTGCGGGGGAACTCTTTCCCACAGAAGCCACACATATGAAGCTGGCTGGGTCCAGAGGGCTGGCCCCGCACTCGAGACTGAGGGACTATGGGTACAGGCCCAGGTGGGTTATGTGGCCGCAGGAGGGTGAATGGTGGTGGCGGCCTGGTACGCTCGCCCTGGTGCGTGCGGAGGTGCTTGACTCGGGCGGAACTGTCAGCAAAACCCTTGCCACACTCAGGACAGAGGTAGGGTTTCTCCCCTGTATGAACACGATGGTGTTTCACCAGATCGGAGCTTCGGCGGAAGCCTTTGCCACACTCAGGACACTTGTGGGGCTTGTCACCAGCCAGTGGTGGGGGTGGCTCCCCAGCCTGTGGGCCTCCAGGCTCTGGTTCCAAGCCGGGCAGGCCAAAGGGCCCATCACTGGAATGTGAAGGGCTTCGAGGTGTCAGTGAGGGGCTTGTGCCAAGAGGAGGTGGAGGTGGGCTGAGGATGAGGGGGGCTACGGGATAGGCGGAGAAACTGAAGTCCTGGGGCTCCACGTGGGTGAGGCGGTGGCGAAGAAGGGTAGAGCTGAGGCTGAAGGTACGGTTACATTCTGGGCAGGCATGAGGCCTCTGGCCACTGTGGGTGCGTAGGTGCTTCACCCGTGCAGAGCTGTCGGCAAAGCCCTTGCCACACTCGGGGCACAGGTAGGGCTTCTCGCCGGTGTGTACCCGCAGGTGCTTCACCAGGTCAGAGCCCCGGGCAAACTCCTTTCCACACACATCACAAGCAAAGGGTTTGGGACCTAGGTGACTACGCTGGTGGCTCAGGAGGCTGCAGCTTAACACAAACCTCTTGCCACAGTCAGTGCAGCTATATGGCTTGTCCTGGGCCTTGGGTCTCTGTGTAGCCACAGGAGCTGCCTGAGACGGTTGCCGCCGCGGAGTCACTGGCCGGGGGAGCTGCTCCCCTCTGTGTGTCCGCTGGTGCTTTATTCGGGCAGAGCTGTCACCAAAGCCCTTGCCACAGATGCCACACTTGTAGGGTTTCTCTCCCGTGTGTGTCCGCTGGTGTTTGACCAGGTCAGAACTCTGCCGGAAGCTTTTTCCACATTCACCACAGATAGTGGGGCGCTCACCAGCAGGAATCCGAGACCGAGGCATCTTGGGAGGACCCGAGGCTGGGGGCCGGACTCTGAAGGGCTTCTCACCAGTATGAGTTCGCTGGTGTTTGATTCGGGCTGAGCTATCCCCAAAGCCCTTGCCACAGACCCCACATTTGTAGGGCTTCTCCCCCGTGTGAGTTCTCTGGTGTTTCACCAAATCTGACATCTGCCGGAAGCTCTTGCCACATTCACCACACACTGCGGCTCGGTCATTATTAGCCTGTCCCCAGCGGGGTTCTCCCAGGACCCTGGGGACTGGGTCTCGAGGCTGACGCTTCCCAAGCCCCTCTCTGTGGACCCATAAGTCATCCCAGCTCTGAATGCCTTCAGGTTTGAGAGAAGCATTTCCTACTTCGTGCCCTGGGGCTAACTGTTCTTCTTCCTTGAACTCTAAGACATCCTCTTCCTGTGGAGTGTGTTCAAACTCATCCACGGGAGCCTCCATATTCTTACTCCCTAGACTGGGGAAAGAAAACAGAATTATAAATCTCACCCTTTGGCTCAACCTCATGTTTTTCTTTCAGTGCTGCTGGAGCGGAAGCCAGGACCTCTACCTCTACAAGTAACTTCCCCAGGAAGACTCCACAGTGCACGAGCTCCTGAGTTCTCCCTCTCTACTGAATATGGGGAGCACTAATTATCTGCCACTCAACTCTAAGAACCACTGTGCGGTATCCCGCGCTCTTTGTTTTATTTTGAGCCAGGAGTTTCAATAACTTGCCCAGGCTGGCCTCACACATTCAGTCCTGCCAGGCATGCGTTTAATTGCAGCACTGGGGAGGCAGAGGCAAGTGGATCTGACTTTAAGGCCAGCCAAGCAGGATACACAGTAAGAACTTGTTCCAAAACAAACACCATTCTCAGCTACCAAGTCCTGGGATCACAGGTATGTGCCACCTTCCTGGCTTACTGCGTTTTTAATCGACAATCACCAAACTAAGCAATATTAGTCTCTTTATTTTACACTCATGGAAACAAAGAATTAAAGAAATTTTTCTTTCTTTTCCTTTTTTTTTTTTTTTTTTGTGACAGATTTTTTTCTTTAGTCACCAACCAGTTCCCAAACCATGACGCAGAGATTACTAGTTTGGAAGCTCGGCCTTAGCTCATGCTTGCCCCACTAGCTCTTATGACTTAAATTAGCCTGTTTCTCCTCATCTGTGTTTTGCCTCGGGGCTTTTTACCCTTCTTTCTTTTGTTCTGTACGTTCTACTCTGTCTTGCTGGCTGGCCCAGGGTTCTCCCTCCTCCTCTCTCTGCCCATAAGCCCTGCCTATCCCTCTACTGCCTAACTTTTGGCGGTTTATCTTTTTATTAGATCAGTCAGAAACCGTAGGCAAAGCAGCAATCTTTAAATAATTAAACAAATGTAACACACCTTTGCCCAAATACAAATATTCCACAACATTTTTTTTTCTTTTCTCGTTTTACAAGACTTTAAGAGGCTGTCCTAGAACTTGTTCTGTAGACCAGGCTGGCCTTGAACTCACAGAGCTCGGCCTGCCTCTGCCTCCAGAGTCCTGGTATCAAAGTCATTTGCCACCACCACCCAGACAGGGTTTCTCTTTGTAGCCCTGGCTGTCCTGGAACTTACTTTGTAGACCAGGCTGGCCTCAAACTCAGAGCTCCGCCTGCCTCTGCCTCCCAAGCACTGGGACAAAAGGCATGCTCCTGACTAAAGAAATGTTCTTAAGGTTCAAAAGTTAGAGAATAGCCAAGTTTCTAATTCCCATCTCTCCAAGCCTGTGTTATATTACAGTTTCTCTATTTAGAAAATCTAGGATGTGGTCTATTGAATCTGTTTTGTTTTTTTCCTTCAGTTTTTGAGACATTCTTACTATGTCGCCCAGGATGGCTCTGAATGCTCCACCCTCCTGGAATTACAGGTATGTGTCATTCACTACCACTGGCTCTATTCCGTCCCTTGGAACTTCAGCGATCCAGTACTTACTTCCCTACAGATACTCTGGAGTGGCAGGAGAGAAAAGACTGAGTAACAATGACTGTAATTGTGGGTTCCTAACAACTCTTATCACAAGGGAGGCAGGAGATTAGACGTCAAGGACAAGCATCACTCCGCAGCAAAGAGAAAACTATGGAAAGGAATGTTATTAGGAAAAGGTTACTGAGCCTAATCGGAGGGGGGGGGGTGCACGTAACACTAGGTTCACTAAGGCTTTAATTAATAGTAATAAGGAAGGTGAAGGAGGTTTTGAGAAGGGAGCCAGGATTAGGGCTGGATTTACGTCAGAATGGCTGCAGAAAGCATGCTGAGGAGGCCAGGGCAGGGGAGGTCATCACAATTGAGCCCCGAGGCCTGCAGAAGAGCCGAGACAGAGAGGATGAGTGAAGGCCCGCGGGGGAGGGGAGAGCATGGTGGAGGATGCCCCCCTCGGCCTGGCGCACAGTAGGTGCTCAGAAACGCTGGCTCCGGATTTTGCTCCCGCGCCCCGTCGCCCATGTCCGACTTTCCCGGGTCCCCAAGAAGCCATTACCTGCAGGCGCGGTGCCGGCCGCCGCCCTCACCTGCTCCGACGGCTCTCTGCCGCTCCCAGTCCGCCGCGCCGCGGAGCTCGGCGCCTCAGGGTTCTGCCGCCGGCTGCACCGTTGGCCCACGACCCGGGCGCGGCTCCGGGCACTCCGCGGGCAGCCGCCGTCCCCTTCCCCGCGGTGCTGCAGGGACCCAGGCGCCGGCGGCTCAGTCCGGTGTGGGCTCCGCGCCACGCCGGGAGGGGGCTCGGCCCACGTCCCGGGCGCCGCGGGGCGGGACGGGAAGCGGAAGCACGGGCCTCAGCGAGCCGCTCTAGGACCCGGAGGAGCCGTGGGCTCGGCGGCCACGAGGACCACTCCAGCGGTGCCCTGCGGCGTTAGCGGCGGGCCTCCCCGGCTCGTCTAACGGGCGCGGTGCGGCCCGGCTGCTCGCGCGGGACAACGGGGAAAGAGCCCGGGGATGGGGTGGGAGAGACCTGGGCAGACAAAGGGCTACGGCGACCCGGCGGGCGGGCGGGCGGGGCGGGGCGCTGGGGCGGGGGAAACAAAGCCCAGCTCGGGGTGGGGGCTGGGCTGGGGCTCGGCACCCCAGCCGAGCTCGAGCCTGCCAGTGCCTTGCCCAATAGCCACGAGTCGGGACACTGTCGGCGAGAGACGACGCGTAGAGGCAGGACCTAGAGACTGGGTACCGGAGACAAAGAGATGTAGAAACAGATAAGGGGCGTCAAGGCCCCCCAAGCGGAGTCCTGGGCCCTAAGATGCGGAGAGAGCCTGGAGAGAAACAGGCGGGAGGCGGAACAAAGGGTCACAGGCAGAGACAAAGGTAGACAAACAAAGGCTGCCAGTTTTGCAAAGGCCAAACCCAGGGAGAGACTGAAGAATCCATCTTGGTGGGGCCATGTTCCATGCGACCTAGTCACTGGAAACAATCCCAGGATCTTGTGTTATAGGCAGGCTTTCTTTTGTAGAGGTGAGTGCCTAGAGTCTTCGATCCTGCCACAAAAAGAGAGGGATAACGGGGCTTTTATATTATATGTATCAAAGCAGAAGTTTGAGATAAGGATGATATGCATCACCCGTCCCTTGAGTGCTCGCAGTTTTAAAGAAAAGCATACAGATTATTAGAGAATCGGAGCCAGTGGGTAAAGGTGATTGCTGCTAAGCTTGACAATCTGAGTTCTCTTCAGTTCACTTAGTGGAAGGAGAGTACACGTTGTCCTCGGACGTCCAAATGCGTTCCCCCATTACTGCAAATTTAAGAAATTCTGACTTAAACTGCCGGGCAGTGGTGGCGCACGCCTTTAATTTCAGCACTTGGGAGGTAGAGGCAGGTGGATCTTTGTGAGTTTGAAGCCAACCTGGTCTACAGAGCGAGTTCCAGGACAACCAAAGATACACAAAGAAACCCTGTCACGAAAAACAAACAAACAAAAAGTCTAACAAACAACATATTTAGAAAATAATAGAGCCGGGTCCCGTGGTGGTGCATGCCTTTGATCCCAGCACTTGGGAGGCAGACTTCTGTGGTCTACAGAGTGAGTTGCAGGCTATACACAGAAACCCTGTCTCAAAAAGAGAGAAAATTAAAGCTGGAGAGATGGCGATTAAGAGCTTGCATGGTTCTTACAGAAGACCAAGGTCAGCTCCCAGCACCCACAGCTAGGCAGCTCATAATTGCCTGGAACTAGCTCCAGGGAGTCCCTTTTCTGGCTTCAGGGGTACCGCACTCACAGGCACAAATCCACGCATGCACTATACACAGTCACATATACATATAATTAAAAATTAGAGGTCAGGGGCACGCAGCTTTAATCCCAGCACATGGGAGGCAGAGGCAGGCCTATCTCAGTGAGTTTGAGGCCAACTTGGTTTGTAGAGCTAGTTCCATCCAGATCAGTCAAGGCTACATGAGAAACCCTGTCTCAAAAAAAAAAAAGATAAAATAAGAAAAGGATTGGGACTGGGGAGATGTTTCAGTGGATGAAGTGCTTGCCACGTAAGCCTGATGATGGGGTTCAAATCCTCAGCACTCATAAATGCCCAGCTAGTGGCTTACCTATGACCTCATCATTCAGCAGCCAGAGAAAAAGATCCACTAGAACCAGCTGACTTCTAGACTGGCTGAATTGGGGAACTAGCACACACATTCACACACACACACACAAATAGAGGCTTGCAGTTATATTGCTCAGTGATGGAATGCATGCTGAATATGCTGGAGGCCCGGGATGGATTCCAGCAAGTGAGGGTATGGGGAGGCATAGAGAACTGTGAGGCACTTAAGTGGTCCTATAAGACAAGGTAAAGGTGGTGCGTGTAGCTATCACTTACTGGTAGATGCAGAGTACAGTGCCCATCTGCGGCCTTCCACGTCCCAGCACAAGACATCAGAGAGATTTCTATCGTGTTTTGCTGTATACATATGTAAAATTTCCAAGTTTTTTTTTTTTTTTTAAGAATTGGATGGGAACACATAGAGCAGGGGTAGAGGCAGAGACAGTTTATTAAGAAAGAAAGCATTTCCAAGAGAGGAAGTGGGCCAGAGCTGGGAGAAAGGTTAGAAGTTCAGAGGTGGTCAGCCTGACGGAATGGGCCTTCAGAGGACATCTGTAAAAACTACTTTACAGCGCCTGCGCTGTGCACTGCTTTCTCAGCTTTCCTGGTCTTTCTGCCAGCTGCTGGCTTTCATGTGCCGATTTTGACCTCACTCTCCACACTCCAGCATTCTAGGGGCTTGAGGCAGGAAGATCCCAAATTTGAGGCCATCCGGGGCTATGTACACTATATCTCAATAAACAAGTTATGGTTTTTTTCAAGACGGTTTATCTCTGCAACAGCCCTAGCAGTCCTGGAACTCACTCTTGTAAACCAGGCTGGTTTCGAACTCACAGAGATCCGCCTGTCTTTGCCTCCTGAGTTCTGGGATTAAAGGTGTGTGCCACCACTGCCCGTCCCTGTCCTGGAACTTTAAAAATAGTAATTTGTGCCCATCCTGTTAGCGCATACCTCTAATCCCTACACTTGGGAAGCAGAGGCAGGTGGATCTCTGTGAGTTCGAGGCCAACCTGGTCTACAGATAATACAGCAATAAAGAAAACTTCACCTTAAAAATGCATCATTGGGGGCAGCAAATGAGTCAGAGGGTAAAGTACTTACCACCCAGTCTGACTTCAGTTCGATTCCTGGGATGCCCACATGGTGGCAGCAGAGAGCTGATTCTGGCAAGTTATCCCCTGCCCTCCGTACTTGCAATGTGACATGCATGCTTGCCCACGGTGGTAGCGCACCCTGTCTCAAAACAAACAAACAAACAAACAAACAAAAACTGGGCAGTGGTGATGCAGGCCTTTAATCCCAGCACTCAGGAGGCAGAGGCAGGTGGATCTCTGTGAGTTCGAGGCCAGCCTGGTCTTCAGAGTGAGTTCCAGAGTGTAGTCCAAAGCTACAGAGAAACCCTGTCTTGAAAAACCAAAACAAAAAGAGAGAGAGAAAGAAATATACATAAATATCTATATATAAGCAAAGAAGAAAATCTAGAAGAATACATATTAAACTGCTGTTATATTAATGCAGCGATATGAAATTAAAAATTTCTAATTCATACAAAAATTTAATCTGCTTATAAAATGACAGGTTTCCTAATGGTATTTTTGTTTGCTTATTTGTTTTGTCTTTCAAAACAGAGTTTCTCTTTGTAGCCCTGACTATCCTGGAACTATATAAACCAGGCTAGTCTCAAACTCAGAGATCTGCCCACCTCTGCCTCCTGAGGGCTGGAATTAAAGGAGTGTGCTACCAACAACCAGCCCTAATGGTATTTTTTTACATACTTCATTTTGGTTTGTCTCACATAACCATCAGCTCTCCTCCTACCTCCCTGATCCTCCTTTAACTCCTGTATCCCCTCTTAGAAGTCAGGCATTATGCTGGCCTGCCCTGTTATCTGGCAGGATGTACCCACTTAATACCTTGGCCAATCCAGGTACTGGTCTGTACTATACAGGTGCAAAGGTCCCTCTAAGAGACGAGCCCCGCCTACTCCTGCTCTCTTCCTTTCTACCATTCTCCCTGAGGAGGCAGCTTTATGTCTCTCATGTCTCTCCTCTCTCTCTCTCTCTCTCTCTCTCTCTCTCTCTCTCTCTCTCTCTCTGTCTCTCCCTCCCTCCCTCCCTCTCCTTCCTCTCTTTCACCCCACTCTGTCTCTCTTTCTCTTCTTCCCTTCTCTTGCTTCCTTTTTTACACTCCCTTCCCCCAATAAAACTCCTCACTTAGACCAGGCTGGCCTGGAACTCTTTCCATCCATACTTTATGGTCCCGGGAGTTGAACTCGGGTCCCCAGTGCTGCTACAGGCATCTTTACCTAGGGCCCAACTCTGCAGCCTCCTCAAAGCAGCTT